GTGGGCTTTGCACAGCAATGAAGCATCATCTCTCCCTGCTCCATGGGGGAGCACGTGGGTCTGCCCCGGGATCCCAACCCTCGGTGCCCAGGTGTCCCCTCTTCGCAGGCTCTGTATCATGGGAAGTTCATCGACACGGGCTTCACGCTGCCCTTCTACAAGCGGATGCTGAACAAGCGCCCCACGCTGAAGGACCTGGAGTCCACTTTGCACAGCAATGAAGCATCATCTCTCCCTGCTCCATGGGGGAGCACGTGGGTCTGCCCCGGGATCCCAACCCTCGGTGCCCAGGTGTCCCCTCTTCGCAGGCTCTGTATCATGGGAAGTTCATCGACACGGGCTTCACGCTGCCCTTCTACAAGCGGATGCTGAACAAGCGCCCCACGCTGAAGGACCTGGAGTCCATCGACCCCGAGTTCTACAACTCCATCGTCTGGACCAAGTCAGTGCCCTGTGCTCCTCCCACCACGGGCCCTGCTGCTCCTGCGGCGAGGCAGCGTTGGCTCCAGGTGGTCCCTCGTTGATGGGCTGTGCTGAAGCCTTGCGCCTCCGTGAGAAGTAACATCTTGGTGTCTTCCTGCAGGGAGAACAGCCTGGAGGAGTGCGGCCTGGAGCTGTACTTCATCCAGGACATGGAGATCCTGGGCAAGGTGACCACCCACGAGCTGAAGGAGGGTGGGGAAAGCATCCGGGTGACAGAGGAGAACAAGGAGGAGTATATCATGTGAGTCTGGGTCCTGATGCCCCAATTGGGCGCTTAGCCCCGCTGGCTGTAGGGCAGTCCTGGTATGAAAACGTGGGGCTGGGGACGTGGCCGCTTTCTTGGGCTACGTGGCCTGTGACAAGTATGGGCTGGCGCGGTCAGCCTAGCTGCGCGCTCCACTGCGGTCTGGCTTGCTGCTGGCTGGGCCGTCGCCAGCGCTCTCAGGAAAGAGGAGAGGGGAGAGAGGGTGAGACTCCTTCCCCTGTCCTGTGGCTACTCAGGGCTGTCTGGCCTGGGTGGGGGCTACTAGGCCCTCTCTGTCCTGCTCCCAGTAGGCTCTGGCCAGGGGATGTAGTTTGCCCTCCTCATCGCCCAGACAGCTGCCGATCTGTCCCCAGTGTCGTCCACTGCCTTGTCCTCGTGCTGCTCCTGGGTTTGGAGGTGGAGAGAGAAACCCGCTGGTGGGAATCGAGGGCGACCCTTGCAATTTGCAGGACACCCTCTCTCCTGGTCCCCACGTGCCCTGTGGCTCCCAGTGCCCGCTGCAAGGCCACCTGCCTCCTGGCTAGCCCGTGGTGGTGGTGGGCAGGTGAGGCCCTGAGCGGGTGGTGGTGGCGGTGGTGGCT